CGGGTGTCTTTATTGAAGTGAAAAGACAAATTAGTTGAGATAATCGCCAATTAGTTTGAGAAATACGAGAGTTTCTTATTTTACTATTTAATATAATATTTAATTATAATTGTATTGAATCATAATAATATGGTGCAATACATGTCATCTCAAATTAAATTAAAGTTGTTGGATCTAAATATTTTTAAATCCTCAAACTACATCTACAAGACAAATCGGCACTTTTAAGCAATTTAGTTTACTTCTTCAAATAGTTTATTAGAAGAAAAAAAAAGATTAAAAAAAAATTAATAAAGAACCCTTTTTTTTTAAATATGAATAAATGCTAATGATTCCAAGTAGTAGTTGGATAATCATCTCATCATTTTAGGAAAGGTATCCCAATTGTACAAAACCAGCAACCATATGTACAACTACACATACATTGTATTTTTTATTAATTTGAAACTTTGAAGAACAAGTATTGCCAAATCATTGACCAAATAAAATAGACTTTTGGTCACGAAAATGAAAACTTATATTAAAATTTGGATTAATCATATTTGTTTGGGCCAACCCTAGAGATGGCGTACCTAAGGCGGCAAAAAATATCACTACTTTAAAAATTGGGAATTTTTTTTTTTTTAATAAGAAAAACGTGTTGAACGATCACCTCAACCAAACCTCCACAAAACACAAAATTAATTATGAACCATGTAGTAATATCAATTAGCATAGAGCTAATAAAGTGTCAGAAAATTGAATCTTTGGTAACTTTGGAGGTAAAAAACCACACGAACGAGACCTCAAAGATTGAATATTTGGTCTTTACTTCACAAAGATTAAATCAAACATAACAAAAAGATAGTCGAGTCTCGCAAGGGATTGTCCAGCGGTTGGAGTAAAGTGAGCTTTAGTCAATTGACCGAAGTTCGAATCTAGTTACAGCCTAGCATAATTTACATCTCTCGTATGATTTGTAAGTCATTATACAAGAGGGTAGATATCACGTAACAATAAATTCATAGATTGATATCACTTTGTCACATGTCCAAACACACCCCTATACAAAATCTTTAATTTTTATTAAATTTTAATTTAGGTAAAGAATAACCAATAATACAAAATCACAAGAGCATAATATAGTTTCTTGCTTTTACCACATGCACTCAACACTAGAAACAAGTCTCTCTTGCTATCTCCTTCAATACCTCCAAAACCCCACCACCCCCTTATCAATCTTATTTCAATCCTAAAATTCCATTCTTTTTTCTTTATATATAAATATTTTCTATGTATTATTTATTTATTAATTAATAAAAAAAAATCTGGAAGAAACTACACCCCAACCCCCCTATCATTGTTTAACTCATCATCAAGAATTTGATAAATTAAAGCAGCAGAAAAAAATTCAGAAAAAGAGAGAGAAAGTTTCACCGCCACAATCATTTGTGTGTTTCTGAACTCTTTTTTGTCAAGTTGTTAATTGAACACTTTCTGTCAAAAGTTCACCTCCTTTTGATTCCCTTTCTTTCTCTCTCTTGTGTGTGTGTATGTATGTATGTAATCTCTACAATTATGCTCCATACTCTACTCCTCAATCCCACCACCGCCACCGATAATTCCTCCGCCTCCATGGCCTCCGCCGGCAAACGCCCCGTTGACCTTCCCAATCCCAACTCAGACCCCATCAAGCGCCGCCGCTCCGATGAAGATCCGCAACAATCCGATGATCCAGAGCATCACCAGCAACAGCAGCAGCAGCAACAGCTCTACTCCACCGCCGTCGATGAGGAAAACTCCAACTCCGACTCCGATTCCACCGGGCTCCGCCTCCTCGGGCTCCTCCTCCGGTGCGCCGAGTGCGTGGCGGTGGACAACCTCGACGACGCCGGGCAGCTCCTCCCGGAAATCACGGAGCTCTCCACCCCCTTCGGCTCCTCCGCCCCAAGCGTCGGCGCGTACTTCGCAGACGCCCTCTCCACGCGTATAATCA